TCACTACTATTTCTGGGTCAAAAGTCATCATTATTGGAGAGTCTAGAAGCAGATGGCACAATTTAAAAGTAAGATGATATCACAAAACAGGGAACAAAACAGAAATTGCTGGAAAAGCAGAGCAGGTCTGGCAGCAGAAGGAAAAAACTGAGTTAACATTTTAGGTCCAGTGACCCTTCCTCAGAACTGTCACAAAACTCTGAGATGAGGAGAAATTCTTTTACTCAGAGTGATGTGAACATCTGGAATTCTCAACCCCAGAGGTCTGTGGGCGCTCTGGTCTTTGAGCACATTTAAGGTTGAGATTTATAGGTTTCTTATATCCAGTAGCGTACAGGATTATGACAATGGGGTGGGTAAAAGATATAGAAATGTTCTATCAGCTGTGATAATGGTGCACGGTGGGACAGAGTCGATGGGCCATTTTCCTGCTTGTATGTTCCTCTGCATCTTTAAAGTAGAAAGTTGTCCCAAGACACTTTACCAACATTTGTGGAGAAGAATTCATACTGAGCCAAAGCAGTAGTGATTAGAATGACTTGATCTCATTGGACAAATACATTTTTAGAGGGCTCAGCAGTGTCAATTTTGTGAGGTTATATTGCCGGGCTGGAGAGTCCAGAAGAAGTGGTGGTAGCTTCAGGATTAAAGGTCAGTCATTTAGGACTGGGATGAAGATAAATCTGTGAATCATTATAGTTCTCCACCCTAGCGGGCCTAGTGGATGCTCAGATTTTGAGTGCATTGCAGGCTGAGATTAATGGATTTTAGGGCTCTAAGAAAATTGAACAATTATATGGAGGTTGGGCAGCCAAATGGAGTTGAAATCAAAGATCTGTCATGATCTTAACAAATCATCCAGCAGTACTGAGGGTGTGATGTGGCCCTTGCCTATTTATGTAGCTATAAAAGAACCTATGATTAGTGCCGGCTGTATTTCCTGGAGTTCTGCTAGGTTGACATTGACATAATTCACCCAAAACTAGTGTAACTGGTGCAAAAGACCAAGGGATGTTTACAGCAAATTATGCGGTGTAAATAAAGTTTCTTCGGATCTTTTGCACTCATTTATAGAGAAATGTGCGGAAACAGTCCACGCCCACTAAATTAACTAATTGCCGCTGACAGTTTTCTCTAATTGCATTGGTTGTGGGCCTTTGTGCGTAAAGATATCAGTAGTAACATTTAAAAAACTTCTCAGTTTTATTTTAAAGGGGCACTAAAACCAACTACTGCACTCCAATATAACTGTGGAATGGCTCTTTTTAAGTCATTTTAGACTTGCAGGAGGTAGTTTCATGCTGTCATTAAATACATTGATTATCTGTTCTAACCCGCTTTCTGCTGCATTAATTAAATTGCGCCGTTACCACTTTTAAATATGACTTTTCTTTGGAAGTCAATTTGTAAAATATTATTTTTTTATATAATTAAAAAGTCTGCCTGAAATGTTGCAGTTAAGGGGAGAAAGCACTTCTTTTGAAAATAGTGCAATTTTGGGTGCAGATGGCACTCGTTTTGTTGACTAACCAAAATGCAATCTTTTGGACCTTTAAGAAAGTTGCGACTTTCGTAATGTTTGATTAATCCTGTTTTAGTGTGATGAAGCAAATATTGAGCAGAAATTCCTAATGTAAAAGAATTCTGGAGGCAATGAACCATTGAGTTTTGCAGCAAAGAAAGCAGTCATTCATTCCATCATGTTATGACTAGTTTTTAATTGAGAGCAGTTCAAATGAATCTTGTGGCCCTGCTCTTTGTTCACCTTTACTTCAAATGTTTAATTTTCCCTTAAAAGACAAAATGGCCTCTTCTGTAACTACTCACTGTGACATAACGTCCCACGCTCTGATTAATCTGTATATGAAACATTTCCACCAACCCCTCTCTCAGTAGCAATTTCAAATTGAAAATCTCTCATTGCTGACTCCCCAGTAAAAAGAAATTGAATGGTCAATTCTCTCTGTTCAAAAGCCTGTAGAATTTTAAAACAAAATGTCTAATCAGAATTTTGATGCAGTGTAACAGTCCTAATAGAGTAAATCCTCTGTATCCACAAAATCATGAATCACAAATTCACCTAACTCCATTAAAAAATAAGTAACAACAAAAATAAACATTCGTGGGCAAAAATCACATATCTGTGATATTTTTAACCATTTTAACCTATTTCTAATGAGCTCCACATTCGCAAATTTCGTTATTCATGGGGATTCTCAGGAACTGAACCCTCATGGATACAGAGGAATGACTGTAGCTCCTTGTTACTGTTTATTCCTTCCCGATATCTGGACATTGATCCACAAAACTGCAGTCTTCCTCCCTCTTCGAAAGGGGAGTTAGAGAAAATTAAAGGTGCCAGTCACAGGAGATGTACAGTTAGGGCAACATACCTAAGAAGAAATTATCTCCCTCCTTTTGTAGATTAACAAGGTCACTGGAATTTTTTTTAAGGAATATTGTTCCTATTTATAGCCTAGTAGTTTTACTGACTTTAGGAGTAAAAGAGTAACCTGCTGTAAAATCAGACTTGACAGCTTGTTAGTGTTAAAAAAATTGAATTTAAGAGTTTGGAGGCAAGATCTTCAGATGCTTGTGAAAAATGTCAATTTTTCAGCAGCTAAAATTGATCTTTGCGTGTATTTAAAGTATCAAAGTTTGCTTAGTACAATGGTAGCAGAAGTCTTATTTCTAAAATGCACTCAAGGCATAGGCTGAGCTGTGCAGACTCATTCTGCAGTAGCTGAATATTGAATCATGAGTATTTACTATTCTGCCCAGACTGAAGTAACTGGATTGAGTTCCTCATGTTATGAAGATGCTTCATATTTAGCAACTGTTGTGGACTTTGTTTGAAGAATTGTGGAGATGCCCAGATTATTTCTTTTTAAAATATTGTTGAAAAGACACATCAAAACATTTTCTTAAGGCATTTCTTGGAAACTACATGGCTCCAGGTAATTACTGGTCTTGGTTGCTTGAACTCACTTCAAGGAGAACACCTGACAGGGTTTTATGGCTGTTCTGTTTGAAGTGTTTTCAGGCATGGAGTTAGTGTTTGCATTTTCTCTTCAATAGAGCAAACTTTCTTTGCTTTCAAGAGTAACCATCTTTGGCTTGAAAATATTTTTCTGTTTAAAGTGGAGAGAAATATGTTTTTTTAAAATTTGGGTTATTTAGATTATCAGAACAGCCATGATCTTGGTGAATGGTGGAGCACACTTGATAGGCCAAACAGCCCAATGCTGTTCCTACGTCTATGGCGTGTTAAGCAATTCTGCATCTCTATTGAATGGGTTTTGTTTTATAATGAATGGATCTTTTTTTTCAGTATAGTAAAAACACTTAATTAATGGATCTTTTCATTCTAAGTCTAATATAGAGATAACATATGATTGACCATGCCAGAGATTGGGTAAAATATATTTTTATTTGATGTTGTGACTTGTAGAAAGCAGGAATAGAGTGACACTACTCTCCTCTCAAATGTAATAATTGAGACCAGAATAATGTAGCGACCAAAGGTTTGCTCTTATATGAGTGTCGGTGGCATATCTGTAGATTTGCATAATCCTGTAAATTGTTTGATATATGCAGGACTTAAAGAAAAATAACTGGAGTGTAGGGAGTAATTGAACATGCAGCTCAGCATTCTACCATCAATTTCCATGCCTGCAGATTGATGATGGACCTTGATTTGAACTGCGTCACACTGTGAGACTCTTGGCGTGCATAGTGACAGCACTGCGTCACACTGTGAGACTCTTGGCGTGCATAGTGACAGCACTAAATCTCTGCACCTTCTAATATTTGCAGCCATTGTGGGTAGGAAGTTGTGAAATCTGTTCCTTTTTTTTAGAGAAAGGCAAGTGAATACCTGTGTGCTGTTTAAGGAACGCTTTGTTGCACTTTATAGTTTTTGAGGTTTGTTGCAATTTCATTAAAAACTGCTTTGGATTGTTACTGGGCTGTGTCATGGCGTCAGTCATTGGACTGAAATTTGCAGGCTGGCACACTGATCATCCCCTCCATTAATTAAAAAAAAAGCCTGCTCTGCAGTGTGAAAGCTGCCAGTGGCTTTAATGAGCAGAGAGTGGAACTTTGTTACATAGATTCAAGGTTGAGATGGACAGATTTTAATCAGTAAGGCAATCAAGGAAGAGAGGGAAAAGGCAGGAAAGTGGAGTTAAGCATTATCAGATCATGCAAGATTTCATTGAATGGCAGAGCTGAATGGCCTTCTATATCTTATGGCTTTGCAGCCTCCCCCCCTCCATTGGGAGAAAATCCTACCGTCAACTGCTGCTGGTCAATCTGATTGGCTAGTAGCTCTAACATTCCCAGCAGTGTCAGAACACAGTAGTGGATGCTGCGAGGAGGCTCATTTCAAAAAAAGGAGTGAATTTGAGACTAAGACAACTTCCAGTCTTTAGGGCTGTATGAGCTTGAACAATCTAGGGAGGAGGGGCTGGGTGGCAAGGCATTTAGGAAGGGATGGTTTTGGTGGCTAGGTGGCAGCACAAAATGGAGTTTTGCCTTGGCGGTGTGGGTGGGCATGTGTTGAGTCTATAATAGGGAGGTCCCTGAGGCATGCAAAATAAGTAAACCCTTTCTTCCTGCATTTTCAACTCAGAAGCCCCAATAGCTGCAGTTTAGCCGAAAAGACATTTTGCCTACCGCACAAATGAGTAACGTGATATGAGTTTCAACACTAATATGATGTCAGATATATAGACCATACATCGCAATGACTGGTAGACTGTATCAAACAGTACATTTCATTGACCATGCACAGTAGGCAGCAGGTCACTCATGTTCAATTAGTCCAAGCTTGCAAGCTTTAGAAAGGTATATCCACCATTAGATATGATTCTGCCATTCAAAATCATTTATTAAATAAGCCGGGCTGTACTAAGAGTTACACCAGAAACCAGTTTAAGATCATGAGCCTTATACACAATGTGATGTGTTTACATGTACGTAAATACACAGGATCCTGATTTATGTTGATAAAAATAGTTCTTTTATATACACTGCATCCTTTTAAATAAAAGGGGTCATGAAGATAATTAAACTTTGCCGCATAGCAACACCCTGACCAATCAGAATCTATCTGCCAGGTTTGAGAATTAAGATTGACAGTTAACTGTTCTTGCAGTGTCTCTATGTCAGTTATGGTACAACCAATCAATACCCTCTTCTCTGTGTAAAAATTGTGTCCGTTTTCTTCCATGTTTCTTGTTCTTAGTTCTGGTGAGCAAAGATATAAAAATCTTAACTTTTCGCAATGTTTAAGCTGTATACTGCCAAGCATATATTTACCTTTTGTTTTACATTGCAGAATTATGTGAAAGCTATGAGACTGTTCGTTGGAGAACCAGTTTGGACTCCATATTATCGCCCAGCTGATGAATTTGAAGCCCGCAAGAAATACATTCAATTTCTTAATGAAAGACTTTGAATTCTACATGGTGGCAGAGAAATACATGTCATTTTGTAATTTGAAATCATGCAATTCAACAATAACTGTGAAGAACTTTTTACTGGAACTTATTTTGATGCTTTTCAGGCAACGCTGATAGGTCCTTAACACTAATGAGTTTAGAAATTTAAACTTCATGACAGAAGAAATAATAACTGGCTTTGTTAAGAATTAACTGTGGGGGGAAAAGAAAACTTCATGATATTTCACTGTGAGCCCAGATTGTTTTGTTTAATATACTTCACATTTGCCTTGATTTTATTTTGGGTGTTCTACATTGGTAAATTTGGAGTGTCTTTTTCAATATATTGACTTATTATCAGCAACCACTACATTTTCAATAACAATGGGTATAGTAGAATGACATTGATAGGATGCTAGTTCAAACCCCACCATGCCAATTGTGAATTTGAATTCTGTCAATGGAATAAATCAAATAAAAACTTGTATTAGCATCAGTAGCTATGAAGCTACTGGATTCTTGTAACAAATATAACTGGTTCACTAATTCCTATAGGGAAGGAAATCTTCTGTCCTTACCTGGCCTGGCCTAAATATGATTCCAGATGCAAAGCATCGTCCTCCAAGGTCCTCATAACTGCTGTCTGGAATGCCGCAGCAAGCCACTCAGTTATATCAAATAGCTTCAAAAACTGGACAGACCACTGAGGATTGACACTGACACACCCAGCCCAGCTGGCCTTGCAGATTGTTCTTCACAAATATTTGGCAGTCTGTGCTGAGATTGGGAGGAGACTTGTCCTACAAACTGTCAAATAACAGGCTGACATAGTCCTAACTGTATTCTTCCGTCACCAAATGTAGGTATGTCCTCTTGCACTGGTAGGACAATTTGAAAAGAGGGAATGGCATATTGGAATACAGACAGGAGAAAGTTGCCCCAAATGTCCTCAAAATTGATGTGAAATGTTTTGGCATAGATTCGTGAATTAGCAGTCTTCCACTTTGAACACTTGGACCAAGCACTGAAGGTAAAAGTATGATGTATGATGCGCAATAAACTCTGATGTCCACTGCAAGAGATGTTTAAATGCACCATCACAGACCACGTTGGCACATCCTGACGATGTAACTGCCTGAGTGGGCAAATGGAAAGGGAAGCTAGAAGGAATAATTTAGGGGCAGCACAGTGGCTCAGCGATTAGCACTGCTGCCTCACAGCGCCAGGGACCCGGGTTCAATTCCACTCTCGGGCGACTGTCTGTGTGGAGTTTGCACATTCTCCCTGTGTCTGCGTGGGTTTCCTCCGGGTGCTCCGGTGTCCTCCCACAATCCAAAAATGTGCAGGCTGGGTGGATTGGCCATGCTAAATTGCCCGTAGTGTTGAGGGATGTGTAGATTAGGGGGATGGGTCTGGGTGGGATGTTCTGTGGGTTGGTGTGGACTTGTTGGGCCGAACGGCCTGTTTCCACACTGTAGGGATTCTATGAAATTCTATAACCTACCTGACCTTGTTCTCACCAATTTACCTGGAACAGATGCATCTCAATGCTGGTATCCTGAAGATTGACCATCCCACAGTTGTTGTGGTGACAGAAGTCGCACCTTCCCACTGAGGACACCATTCATTGTGCGGTGTGACATCAGCACTGCATGAATTAGACAGTTCAAACTGGCTGTGAGGCGCTGTACCCTTCCATAATCTGTCAATTCATTCTTCAACCTGTATATTACCATCAAGTATACTTGAAAATGAAGTACTAACCAGTGAAGGTAGAACACAGGATTGTGCACTAAACAATGGGAAGAGTATGCCACAGATATTTTCTAGTTAACTTGATCAAAGATGAATTACACACCTCTGGGAGCAAGTAGGACTTGAACCCAGGCCCTCTGGCTCAGAAGTAGGGAAACTACCATTAGGCCACAAAAACCCATAAAGAAACCAAACGTACATATAGCCCATCCGGGAATTGAACCCTGTTCTCACAGGGCAGGTGGGAGTACTGACCACTACACTAACATGGTGCTTCTGGTAATAGTATGCCAAAGATATTGTCTAATCAACGTGCTCAAAGATGTGATTATACACCTCCAGAGCAAGTGGGACTTGAGGTTTTGGCCCCCTGGCTCAGAGTTAGGCACTGCCCCTGCACCACAAGAACCCCAGGCAAGATTCAAGGGCATTTTCAGATTAGTAGCTCTAGGCAATAATATGCTGTAGACAGAGCCAAGTGATCCAACCAATCAACCAACATCAAATCAAGCCTCTGCAGTCTTGCCACATCTAGTCATGAATGTTGGTGGGCAATTAAACAGCTAATAGGAAGTACAGACTCCACAAACATCCTTGTCTTCAGTGGTGGTGGATGCCCAGAATTTAAGTACAAAAGATATGGCTTAATTATCTTCAACCAATTCTATTGACTGATTGATTCATCTCAACACTCTCCTGGGGTTGCCAGCGTCACAGAATCAATCCTCAATCAATTTAACCCTTTCCATGTGGTACCAATAAATGGTTGAGCACATTGGATAAAGCAAAGTCTATGAGCCCCACTGATTTAGTGCTGAAGAGCTCCAGGACTAACCTGAGCCAAGTTGTTCTAGTACAGCTACAGTTCTGTCAACTACAGGACAAAGTGGGAAATCACCCTGTTATGCCCTATCCAGAAAAGGCAGGAGAAATACCTCATACTACCACCTTAAATCATTCTTAGTCATCAGAAATAGTGGAAGATGTTGTTGACAGTGTTAGCACACAGCATGTACCAGTTTGGGTTTTGCTAGAGCCACGCAGCTCCACACCTCATTCCAGTCATCGTCCAAACATGGCCCAAAGTTCCAGAGGTTATTCCACAGTTCATTGTTTCATGTTAGGTGAGAGTGATCACCCTTGACATCAAGGCGGCATCTGCCTGAGTGTGTCATCATGCGCTCCTTGAGAAACTGAAGTCAGTGGAGATCAGGGGAAACCTTTCTGTTGGTTGGGGCTGTACCCAACATAAAGATGGTGATGGTTATTGCAGACCAATCAACCCCAGAATTGTTGCAGGAGTTTCATAGGTCAGTGACTGCTTCATTAACTACTTTCCCCTCATTATAAGGTCAGATCTGTGTTTGCTAATAATTACACAGTGTTCAGTATCATTTCCAATTCCTTTTATAATGATGTCGTCCATACCTGCATGAACCGAGGCCTGGACTACATTAGACTACAAGTAACGTGTGTCACTCAAGTGTCAGTCAATGATCATTTCCAACAAGAGAAAGCTTATCCATCTCCATTTTACATTTAATAATATTACCACCAACAAAAACTTGCCATCAGCATAACCTTAACTGGACAGGACACAAGTAGCTTAGAAGCTGCAGTATGTAATTCTCCTCTTGACTCCCAAAACTTAAAAGGCAGAAACTAGCAGTATGCTGGACTGCCCACCGCTTACCTGGAGAAACACACTACCAAAAATTCTCAAGCTCAACAACATGCATAACAAAGCAGACTTGTCTAAGCAGACCATCCACCACTTTTAACATCTTTTTCTTCCAATACTGACACACACTGGCTATGTGTGTACCACCTGCAAGACACACACTGCAACAGCTGGTCAAGGTTTCTAAACTCATAAAGCAGTGACCTCTACCTGGACAGATAAGTATGGCTGGAACTTTGGCACACCAGCACAATTGAGATTTCTACCACATCGCAGAAAATCCTGTCTTGGAAATATATTGTCACTTCCTCCTTGTGACAGGGTCAAAGTCTTGAACTTCTTACCTAACATTACCCCACAGATTGTATTGGTTCAAAGCAATAGCTTGAGAAACCTGCTCTCCTTCCCTATGTTTTTCTCCAGAGTCACACCAATGCCTTCTGTAATGGCCTAGCAAGCCACTCAGTTCAAGGGAAATTACAGATGCTCAACAAATGCTGGCCGTGCCAGAGACATCCAGATCGCAGAAGAATGTAAAAAAAGACTTTGACTGAATGTGTAAATTAATGACTCTACTAAACT